TAATCGCGTCATATGTTAACATTGTCGTCTATGGAAATCATGATTCAATTAGTGGTATGAGCCCTAAATTGGCGCACGAGTCAGCACTCTTCGATCAGTTCGTGGTAAATCCGCCATACCCTAGTAAACGCCTACCATAGTTACTGTCGACACAACCCATACTTTTTGCAAAATATTGATCGAGTATCTACTTTCCATCCTCTGCTCTCGTTATTGTCAGGTATTTATAAAAGAATGTTAATAAGGCACAGGGCAGACTGTCGACAGTATGGGCACAGGGGTAAAGACATTTTAAAACAAGATGTCTTCCACCACACTTCGCACAAAGGATGTGGGTCGATACATGCACCTCCCAAGAGAAAGTATTTGTGCTGCTATGTGTCTCAGTGCGACATGAACCAAAACAGATACGTAAAAAAAGGTAAAATCAAATAAAATCGTAAAATATTGAATTAATAATTGGAAACAAATGTCGGGTTAGATGTAAACAACGGGGAGTCGTCACCTGCGCATGTGTCAGATGGCCATAGCGTGTCACTGTTTACGAACAAGCGTCTACCCATGAGCCTTTGCGTTTTTAGCGTGTGTTGTTATCCTCGCTTGAGACCCACTTCCCGCGCATGCGCAGGTAACGACTCTCCCGCTATAATGATCCCCTGCTCAAAAACAGTACATATGTCACTAGTAGAGTGACTGTGGTCACGGGGACAAACGCTATTTTTTATTCGGTGAGTTAGGGAGACAAACTACTTATTTCCGGGAATTACGATTTTGTGCTGCGCAATGGCGAGTTCCTCTTCACTCCGGGAGTTTCTAGACAAACTTAACGACGATTACGTGTCTTGTGCGATCTGCCTGGAACAGTGCAAGAAACCAAAGATATTGCCATGCCTACATACATTCTGTGAAGACTGTTTGGAACAGCTGGTTGAGCAAACACACGCACGACGTTTTCGCTGCCCTACTTGTAAAAGTATGTGTACTTCTTGTATCGGAAGCCTTAAGGGGAACCATTTCATGGTATCTCTTATCGACCTCGTCAATGAAAACAGGGAGAAAGAGGCTGTTGTTCTATGTGATGTGTGTGCTACAAACGCAGCCAACCACATATGTGTTGATTGCTCCAAAGATCTCTGTGAAACTTGCATTAACGAGCATCGAACAACTCTTAGTCATCAGGTATTGACGCTACAAGAGTGTACTGAACTGAAAGTTGAGAAAGAGGTGAGCTGGTATTCGATTTTAGACCATTGTTTAAAACACACTAACAACAGGTTGGATTATTTTTGCGAATCATGTAATGTTGATATATGTTTCGAATGTACCATAATTGACCACCGTGTACCCCAACACGTACATCGGTACGCTGAACATAAGTCACAGTCACGAGACGATGACGACATAGCACATGAAACGTTCAACGCACTGAAAAGGAAAGATTGTATGGATGATAATTCCAGCGTTGTCAACAGCAATCCTATTAAAACTCGCAAAATGGCCCATAAAGAAATAAACCAACGCCAATTTGTGTGGGTTTCGAAGTGCGGCATAGGCAGTATTCCAAGGCGGCTTTTGAAAGGGGACACTGCGAACATTATCATAACTACTCGCAATAAGCATGGCATTCCTGTCATGTCGCGTCAACAAATTATAGTTAAGGTAGTAAAACCCGATGGATCTAACTGCGATGGCGTGCTTATTGATAACCACGATGGCACATATACGGTACCTGTACGCGGGGAAATTGGTGGTAAATATGTGGTAACTATGACGATAAGGGATCAACACATTCCTGGGACACCTGTCAAAATAGTCGTTGATCAATCTGTGGTGATGAAGATCGGTAAACAAGGTCATGGAAATAAAGAGTTTTATTTTCCAAATCAGATTGTTGTAAACCGAAAGGGCGACTTTGCGATAGCCGATACCGACAACGGCCGATTACAGATCGTGAGTCAAACAGGCAGATATAAAAAAACTATTTTACTTCCGCAATCTATGAAGCCAACAGCTATAGCTATGTCCAATGGTGACAAATACTTCACCACTGATGCAAGTAATAATGAGGTCGTTGTTCTAGGCAACAACGGGGTCATCCTGAAGTCATTCGGAAATGATCGGCTCGCATTCCCCCTCGGTATAGCGATCAGCCCACAAAATAGCGATGTGTACGTAACCAACAGTGGATGTGGCACCATCGAAATCTACACACAGGAAGGGGATTTTGTTCGTTCATTTGGTTCCCGTGGGAATTTGGGCGGGCAGTTTAGTTGCCCATACTCGATAGCTTTTGACAGTCATGGGGTAGCATATGTTTCGGATTCGTATAATCACCGTATTCAGGTATTCAGTTCTGATTCGCGATTCCTTTACACCTTCGGGTCAATCGGCAAAAATGATGGGCAGTTCTATTATCCAAGAGGCGTTGCCATTGACAACGATCGGTATGTTTATGTCACTGACCAGGAAAACAGGTTACAGAAGTTTGATTCGACTGGCAGATTTATTCGCCGGATTGATAATGTCAACGACCATGGCTTGAACATGCCTACAGGTATTGCCTTTATCGGGAACAGTCCAATGAAAATAATTGTGGTGGATACGAACAATCATTGCATTAAAATATTCGTACCCTAATTGTATACGATACGTATCGGCATAGAAACACCGGCACGCAAACAATTTCAGAAATTCAATTAGTGTTTATGATGAGGGTAGATAAATTCGACATAGTTAATATTTAATATTACATGTATACTCAAAAGTCAATGAATGACTTAACACATGGCAGTGAAATACTTAAACCACTATATTGAAAGCACAAAAGTGTAAACAAATAGTTCCGATGACATATGTACGTGAAACAATCCCTCCTGTAATCTTGAAATGATCACCCCGTATTTCAAAAGAAAATTTTGCTCATCGTTCACGACAAGGATTTCTCATCTGATTTGGTGTTAGGAATTTAGTTGACTTCGCTCACCGAATTTTCTCATAACTCATCCGTCTTTATATAACCAAGACCACTTCTACTTAATACAGAGCAAAATTCTCTTAGAAGGCGTGAACATTTCTACTGATTATGTTCGTGTTACTTCCCATTTATAGATTGAGATGTTTGTAATTAATGGAAGTTTTTGATAGCCATTGTCAATCAGCTGTTATTGATTTTTAAACATTGCATTTCACATTTCCCACCCACGTTAGTGTAAGAGAGAACAAAGAAACACTACTCATAATACAGACACTGAGATCAGTGTTGTTCGCGACTTTTATTACCGACTAAATTACCACACACCACCATTGATAGATGATTATTATTGCCAGTGAGGACGATTACGGCGATAACAGCTCGGCCAAGTAACTGTAAGCAATCACGTTTACGCATTATTGAGGTAGACACTTAAATTCTGCCGGTGGTATGACACATCATGAAACAGATGCCCAAATGAAGAAAATAATCTGCTCAAAGTTAGACAGCAAATTGGTTAACCGGTGTGTCGCCATCAGCTCTCTTATATAAATACCATATAAGTATCGGAGAGTAAAACTAAAATATTTCTGCCAAGTATAATATTATTATACTTATTTGTTCACCCCATCGTCTAAGTATTATTGTGGAGTTGTGCGGCTGTAGTATCTCATTATCAGGACTTTATTTATTTATTTATGTTTCGTACCCATGTACGCTCTGTATGTTTTTCACCATGCCAACACGTACGACGAATTTATACGATACATTGACACACTACGAGTAACTGACCTTTAATCTCGCAGGTCTTGAGTTTTGAGATTACGGCATTTCATTGGTATATAAATCTTGAATTGATTGCATACCACGGCTGTTGGCGGTAAAAGATTAATTTGAAAGGAAATAGTTGTTAATATAAACTTTGGCCAAATCCGAATTATTTACTAAATTCAATTAGCTGACCATCGTATCGTTCGAGGACGTTAAACTTTACTGGCTGTATTACGCATTCCAAGTTAAAGGACAGTGGTCGTCACACAGCGCGTGTTCCAATTGCATGTGTAAACAAACAATGTATGTATGCTTGTGTACGAGCCCAATATTGAAACAGGGCGCTATGCGACGACCACCGCCCTTTAAACTCGGTCGGCGCACATTTAAGATTTTTGAATGTTTTTACTATTCAGATTCTATATTAAACCAGAGTAATTTTACTGTTTCTTTAAATCTATGTAGTTTTCCTTATATTCCTTCTTATTACGGGCCTGTGCGTTATTTATTATGGTAACCCGTATTTGTGACGTCATAGAAAAGTTTTGGCCTCGTGATTGATGCCCGTTGAGACGCGCTGCAGTGATTGGTGCGTCCCACGATGTCACGCCATTCCGCACGCAAGAGAAGAAGGTGCAGGACAAGGGGAAAATGGCAAGAGCCGAAAGCGGGATTGTGTTGGAAATGTGAACACGAACGTGTTCTGGAAAGCATCAAGTCGGCGTACGAAAAGCTAGGAAAGAACTGAGTTCAGGGTGTTGCCGCCCTCGGACGAGTTTATGTTATTCCCGTGCCGCGAAGAAATCAAAGTGACTGTCGAACTTGCGTTGCACCAACTTTGTGGACATCCAGCGTTGGACTGTGTCGTCGATGACCGGATTGATATGACTCAGGAACTGATCGATAAGCGGTGAGTGATCTTTTGCAACGTAGGGCTCAAGGAACTTGACGTACATCAGATCGTGGAGCCTAGAATCATCGGGAGTAGTTGCGATTTTCTGAGAGTGATTATACTTGCCTCGTGGTCAGCGAATTTTCGGGACTGTACAGAACGTTGTAAATTGGTTGGCGATTTTTTGACATCGTACTGTATTTTGTTGACATAAGTTTATTATTGTATTATGTATCATTTAATAATTTTACATAGTAATTAGTGGATGTCGTGAGTCTGTTTTTGCCCCAGTAATTTAGTTTGGAGTTATATTACCCTGCGATTGTTCATGTTTTTGGCGGTTTGGCTATATCTTAGAAACCATCGCCGTGTAATTTTCAGCTTTGCGTTGGATAACGGTACTGTTGGACGCTACATTTCTCGGGCGGGGACATAACACAGACTCAGCTCTTCTCTTGTTTATTTTTCTGTGAAGCACATGTTTTGTAATTTTCGGAAACTGCTGTTGTATTAGGACATGTTGTGGCATTCTTGTGTTGAATAAATTATTGGTTTAAATATTAAATCTGTTTACTTTACATATTTTTTTTATTTATCTCTATTCGACAAGTCAGTCGTTTCCCCAGGCGGTATTAATGCGAGTAGCCTCCTCACCACGCCAAATTAGTTAGCTCGAGATTCGGATACGATTATGCGATTACTTTTATGAAATTGAGAGATTAGCACCGGGGCCCAAATCCGGTTATCCACGTCCTCCATTGTGCGTAATATCTCGCGGTGGACTTTGTGCGAGAAATACCCGAGTTTCATATATTATTTCTCGCCTATGTTTGAAAACAAATATACACCAACCAGTTTGGTGCGACCAGCCATGCACAATGTGTACAATATATTATACACCGTTTAAATAGTGTGAATTGTGGTCAGGAAGTTGCTAGAAATAACAGTTTACCATCTCGTGTCACAATAGTTATTAATTGATGAAACTTACACGCCGTATAATCTGTTCCCGTTTTGAAAATAAATATGTTATTTGTTTGTGCAGTGTGAGTATATTATATTTTGCATTTGAATGTGGAATTTGAATTCGCATCAAAACATGGAATCATTTTATTTTAAATATCATGGGATTATGGCTTGCTGGTATTTCAAACAATTTTATTTTATATCATATCAGAATGATAAGTTTGGAATGGCAGCAGCAACCAACAAGTTTCAAGAATTGGATTGGTCACACATTCAATTACTCGACGTGTAATGTACGACTGATTTTCAAGTATGTACATTGCCCTGTATTGTAGTGTAAAACGTGTAGGTATATGTAGTTATTTATTGGAGAGACTACAGGGTTTCCCGGTTACGGTGGAACTCGTAAAATTCAATATGTATGTACTTCAATTAAAACAAAAGTGCGGTATTCTTGTTTACTAAATGATTATATTTATTCCAACTTTTCTATTTGGCAACCCTGTTTTTCCTCAGTCTCGTGTAATTGTAAGTATGATGAAATGTTCACTGTATATGTATCTTGAAAATAACTATGGTTCTTATCGCGGAAACACATGTTTGAAACTGTGATAGGTATAAACTCACCAGTTACGACATACTTCTTTCGTTAATGACAAGATTTGATATGAATGAAGTGCATCACTGAGCCCTCATTGCTAATGGGGCTACCTTGACGCATGGAGCCGGGAACAGCCGCTGGTGGCGCTGTATACAATCAAAACCTATTTAGACTTGCCTAAACTCATTCATACTACAGTGTAAAATACACGGTACCGCCACGACCCATCGTTATTAAGCAGCTAAGAAATATATGTGACGTAAATATACTGGGATGAAAGCATGACGCCCACCTGTTTTTCCATGGTCGGTGCAAATGTAAATATATCAGTCTGTTAATATTCAGTAAAATGGAATCTCATTATTGTCACGTCGATTGATACACCCGCAAGCACAATTACAACGCGTGCATAACGTTACACCCCTAACACCCCCAAACGTTATGCCAGCGCATGGCAAATGCCTTATCTTCGACTTCTGGGAGAGTGGTCTATGGATGAAAGTAAGGCCGTTCGCCATGTTAAATTTATTTTGATATATAGTCGTCGTTCGTCAATAAAAACTAATGTTTATGAACGAATTATTTTATTGAAATACTAGTACAACTTAACATAGTTGTTATACACCTGTAATTATTATACATCTGATACTGTATTGATATTGGTTACAGCAGCCAATCATTTTGCAGTATTGCACGGGGTATCTGCATCCTACCATATTAGGAAATGCGCATTCTTAATATGGGATAATTACGCGGTATTTCCAAGATGGTGATCGCTTTTGAAAACAGACTTCATAGTGAGTAAGTGTTAGTAATTAACTCCGACATTAGTTCTAGTAACTTTCTCGGTCATGATGAAATTAATTGGCCCATTCACAATCGTAAACTTGCCACCAGAGGGCGTTATTTTAAAATCTTTTTGATCAACCAGCTTAATACACTCTTCTTTAGAGCAGTAAAATTACAAAATATTTGTCGCTGCTACTTTGTGTTTCGTACAGTGCGCCACAAAGTTTAGAAATGCTATCAATATAAACTACAGGCGTATTACCAACGCGATACGCCAATGTAGGTAAATTTAGCTTGTAGAAACGTTGAAATACTCAGGCTGGAGTCACGTTTTGTAGCTCGCCTCGGAACCTTTTTTTAATTTAATGATGTCCGTTGCAAAGCGTGGTGACCTAATAACATTTCCATACTCCAGATTTGGTCTAACCTTGGTTGCAAAAAGCTTCGGTATAGAAAATTCGTTTTGGTTAATAGAAGGGATCGTGCTAAATAGTACCAGCATTTGAACTTGTCGCCAATAATAATTCCATTACATGCGGCCAGGGAGACATTGTTCATAACATAGCCCAATTTGGGATGACCGAGATGAAGCACTTCATTACATTTACTAATATTAAGGCCCGGCTGCCAAGTTGAAACAATTGTCATGGTAAAATTCGACAGCTATTCAAAACAGTACATTCACCGTGACCATCATTCATAGGAATAATGACATGATGAATATATAATTAGAGTGAAGTGCCACAATTTTTGGCGATGACAATCGTATGTTCGTTTCATGCAACCACTCACAAAAATGAATACGCAAATCTGTCGTCGCTTTCGTTCTGTCGGAAAGGTGTCGAAAGGAAAGAAAAATACAGTGTATGGTGAATCGTATGACGTGTACCATTCGCCATTAAAACCCCAATTCGAAAAAAATAAGACATAACGATGGCATATGATTACCTACCAGATAAAAATATCCACACGCATACGTCATTATTTTTAACTAATCTTAAACATAATTTAATTTAGCTCTGGTCATCCTTATTAAGTTGAACAAGACACGCCTGTTATTACTCACATGGTAAAAACATCTCGAGCGATCGTATGATGGTCCTTGATGTAATAAAATATTCCCACCGGAAACATATATTTGGCTCACTTGCATCGTTTGAAGGGAGTTAGTATGATGGTTATCTGAAACATTTATATTATTGAAGTTTCTATTTCAGAACATCGATCAACGTGACGACATTTTTGGCACGACGGCATTTCTATCGACAGTCAAGTATGTGAAGTTGAATAACAAACTAGATTACCAGTATTTGACCAATTTATAAAAGATTTACACGAAATGTAATAACTCGCACAACTGTAAAAAATCCAAATTACATGAGATTCCGGGAGGGTGATCTGACCCATGCTCCATTTTAATAGCAGAAACGTGAAGGCTGGTGTAGCAATACAATGAAGTCGTGGTATACGTCTCACTATAGTAGATACAATTGTTTGTCACTATACCCCAAAAATCAGAACAAATCAGTGAAATATTCTTGCAAAGAGAGTGTAATACTTGACAACAAAGAGTTAATAATCGCATTTCAGTCTTCCATGGTCAGCACAGCTCGGTTCGATCTCGACAAAACATTACCATACTTTGTAAAGAAAATCCTATAAACATTACAACGGCAATCGGTGCTGAGCATATATACATGGACTATCAATCATATACTGTAAGAATTACATATGTCTATACTAAGTATGTTAGACATAATAACGCTTGACGACTAAAGAAATAACAGGTTTAAACCAGAGTACAGTCACACTCCATACGAGCGACTAATATGAACACAGAATTCAATAGCAGTTTCACCAGCTGCGTAGAAAACGCAGCATTAATTCATTATAATGTTTCGGTGAATATAAACTCCATTAAATGTACACAACAAGAATTCATATCTACGAGGCATCCTAAATCACAATATAAATATTTCAGTTTTATGAAAATGATGAAGTTCTTTCCGTCGACAATCCTAACTTGAATATATTATTTAAATATAAATATTCATTTACGATATACAGTACGTAAATTAATTTGAGGTTAAAGAAATAACAGCGCGACACATTCTTTTGCTTCATATCTATATTTCTTACTTTGACTTTGACTATGACAAAAATAAATATTTTGATTTCACTGTCATAACATTTCCTTACCATCATAGTAATTTCTCGCATCCCTGGCCGCTGTTAGCGTGTGATTCGGTCAGTGTAATAACAAAACGATCCACTCTCTGTATTCATGCGCATACATGAAACGGTTTTGTCAAATTTTCTCTGATTTGATAATATTGTAAGTTTGACTAGAGACATGCAGAATAGTGTTCAATTACGCGGTGCTCGACATACAAGATAAAATTACGAAGTGGCCAGGCACCGTCAACGCAACAATAATAAAAACATGGCTCAGACATAGCGAGTAATACACCGCTAAGAATGCAGACAATAACAAACTATGTGAACAAACACTTATAGTATTGTTATTTCCGAACACGCACCTGTTGGAAGCATAATTATTATTGTTTAACGATTCGCCTGCAGACGACGCGAATCGTTTGGAAGTTAAACATGCCACGGAGTTGTGTCGGTATCATAGACATCACCACATACCCATATCTTTGCTTATGTCAGCCGGTAGAGTAAATATGTAATTATTCATACTGAACGTTGTATTAAAGACGTTTGATACCACCCTGAAGTGAACATAAAGAAGCAAATACCAATGAAGAATTAACCAATAACTACTGTAGATAGTGAATGTAGAGTTGGTGGAGATTACTTTAGATAGAACGTGACAACAGCCGCAATAGACCGAGCTTTTTGACTCCCGTGTGCGAAGCACAAAAGGGAGTCTTTGCAGTTACCCTGTCTGTATGTCTGTATGTCTGTATGTATGTATGTCACTTTTTTTGTTCCACCGTTATCTCAAGAACCACTAATCAAATTTTGGTAAAACTTGGTACATAAATGCTCTGGGATAATGCGCAGAGTTGATTAGGTTTTGGTAAAAATCTATGAATATTAATTACCTAA